AAATGCTGCAGCAAAGGATGTGGACAACAGTGTATGCCTCCATATGAAGGTATTTGTAATATTAGTGTGGGTCAGCTTCAGGGCTGGACTGGGATTAAAGTCGGCCCAGGCATTTTTTATTTTTTTTTTGTCCAGGTGGCCCACCATATAGATAGAAAGAAAGAGAAAACAGCAGAGTAGAATTTCAGGTTTCTTTGATGAATAGAAAGTTCAGAAGAAAAGCATTTCTGAAATGGAGGTCTTTTGTAACATTATGAATGTCTTTATCATCACTTTCAATCAATTTAAAGCATCATTGCTAAATAAAAGTATTAATAATAATAATAATAATAATAATAATAATAATAATAATAATAATAATAATAATAATAATAATAATAATAATAATAATAATAATAATAATAATGGTAGTGTTTCTTGAACAGCAAATCGGCATATCAGAATGATTTCTGAAGGATCCTGTAACACTGAAGACTGGAGTAATGATGCTGAAAATTTTGCTTTGATCACAGAAATAAATTACGTATTTTATATATATATATTTAAATAGAAAACCGTTATTTTTAATAAGACCATTTTAATATTACTGCTTTTGCTGTATTTTGGATCAAATAAATGAGGCTTGGTGAGAAGCAGCGACTTTAAAAAAACATAAATATTACTGTTCAAAAACTTTTGACTGGTAGTGTATGTATGCATCGCACTCGTATCACATCTAGTTGTTTTGGATAAGAATAAAATGTCAGGTCCGACAATATAGTCGATATAGACCCGATTACCAATCCAGCCCGTATGCCTCCATATAAAGGTATTTATATTATGTGTGTGTTTTTTTTTTTTTGTTGTTTTTTTTTTTAAATTCAGTTCATTTTTATTTATTTTGTCACCAGAAAAGCCAGGAGTGTCCAAAAAATCCTGAAGTAGCACTTTTAGGGGAGTGTGTTGAGAGGTGTTCTCATGACCGTGACTGTCCAAAAGATGAGAAATGCTGCAGCAAAGGATGTGGACAACAGTGTATGCCTCCATATAGAGGTATTTGTAATATTGGTGTGCGGGTCAGCTTTTTTTTTTCCCCCCTATTACAGAGATTGAATCATTCAGTGATCTGGTTTCCCTGTTGTGCTTGTATAAAAGAAAAGCCAGGAGTGTGTCCAAGCAAAAACCTTGGAATAGGAGTGTGTGCTGAATTGTGTTCTCATGACAGTGACTGTCCGAATGATGAGAAATGCTGCAGCAATGGATGTGGACATCAGTGTATGGCTCTATCTAAAGGTATGTTATATTAATGCATTGGTCAGGTCACCCCATGACATTAACTGTCCGAACAATGAGAAATGCTGCCGCACTAAATGTGGACGTG